CAAGTGATTCTCCTGCGTCAGCCTCCCGAGTAGCTGGGACTACAGGTGCACGCCACCATGCCTGGCTACTTTTTTGTATTTTTAGTTGAGACGGGGTTTCACCTTGTTAACCAGGATGATCTCAGTCTCCTGACCTCATGATCCACCTGCCTCGGCCTCCCAAAGTGCTGGGATTACAGGCGTGAGCCACTGCGCCTGGCCCAATTTTTGTATTTTTAGTAGAGATGGGGTTTCACCATGTTGGTCAGGCTGGTCTCAAACTCCTGGCTTCAAGCGATCCGCCTGCCTTGGCCTCCCAAAGTGCTGGGATTACAGGCATAAGCCACTGTGCCCAGTCTGTTTTATTTTTTTATAGAGATGGGGTCTCATTGTATTGGCCAGGCTGGTCTCAAACTCCTGACCCCAAGTGATTCTCCCACCTCAGCCTCCCAAAGTGCTGGGATTTCAGGTGTGAACCACTGTGCCTGGCCCAGTGTATTATTTTGGGCTTGAAACAGATCCACAGGGTCTCCCACTGTTCTTTTTACAAATTGCTATTTTCTGAGGTGTTTTTGGCTGGGGAAGCCCACCGTGTGATTTCCATGGTCATTTCCAGGGCCAGGTTCCAGGTGTCACTGGCACCGTTATCTTGCCCTCTGCGGGTGGCCCACTGACAGCCTGGAGGCCACTCACCTGGTTGTTTTCCCTGGCCCTGTGCTGCAGGTGGTACTATGAGAGCCTGAGCCGCGGAGAGGCAGAGGACATGCTGATGAGGATCCCCCGGGACGGAGCCTTCCTGATCCGGAAGCGAGAGGGAAGCGACTCCTACGCCATCACCTTCAGGTGGGTGCAAGGGTGGGAGGCACACGCCCTCCAGAGGGGCTTGGCAAGGACAGGTGCGGAGAGACAAGGGGGAATTTCAGGTGTGGGCTCACCTGCAGTGTCCCCCCATGAACCCCCCCACCCCACCCCGAGCATCAGCGACAACAACAACAATCACAGCAAAAGCCGCTGCGAGAATGTGCGCTCCAGCGTGCCAGGCACAGTCTGCGTTCTCCAGGCAGGATGCCCTGTAGTAACTCACTTTGGCTTCCAGTAACATGACCATGATCCGTATTTCTCAGAGGAGGAAACTGAGGCACAGCAAGATTAAGTAACTTGCTGAAGCAGGCAGCCAGTAAGTGGTGGAGGTGGGATTCGAACCCAGACAACCTAGGCCTGTGATGATATAGATCTGTTTCCTCCCATCTGCAGCTGCTGCCCAACCACCTCTAGGCCTGTGGTTCTCTAATTTTACCCCAAAACACCAGATTCCCCCACTTTCACTAATGACAAGGAGTGGAGGAATGACTCAGACTCCGTGTAGCACACTGTCCCTCCGTCTCCTCAGCACCAGGGTTTCCCTGCATATTCTTACGGTGGTAACCGTCTGCCATATGTTGAGTTCCTAACTGTGTTCTAGACACTGGGCTGCCTTCGAGGCCTCATCTGATTGAATCCTTTGCTACAGCCTGTGAGAGGGAGGTCTAGTTATTACAAGGGAGGAAACAGGCCCAGAGAGGTTAAGTGACCTGCCTAGAGTCACACAGCCTCATAGTCAACTGAGTCTGAGGTTCAGATGCAGGCCTATTCGTCTCCAAAGCCTTAAGCTCTTCACTCCAGAGTTTCCAGCCAGAGGCTTGGGGGCCAAATCAGGCCTGCGGGCGTCTTTTGTACACTGGTGGGAAAAACTGAGAAATTTCACTGAAAACCTGAGATTGCTTCTTGTGAAAAATGGGAGGCAGTGAACACTCTGGGCCTGTGTTTCACATGGGCGCAGTGGTTCTGGCTGCATGGCAGCTGCTGTGGGGTGTGTGGTTTGCCCCTGCCCACTCCTCTCCCCATTCCCTGTGCCCTGGTCCCATCCCCTGGCGACCCTGCCAGGCTGCCCCCTGGGCGTTTGGATTTCCCTTCCTCCTTGCCTGCACCACTGTGCCTGAGCCACCTCCGTGGGGACCGTGGTGACGGTCATTATCACTGCAGTTTACTGAGGACCTACTGTGTGCTGGCTCCAGCCAGAGGGTAGCTTCCCGCCAGCATGGCTCTTCTGTACTCTGTGTTCCCAAGAGGACGACCTGGGCTTCTCAGCATTGGTGCTTCTGCCCTTTGCTCTTTCCCCCAAACCTCTTGGTGGTGCCTCCTCAGCCTGGATAGGCAGGAGGTGTGTTTAGTCCGCTGCGCATGGATTGAAGGCCTGCTGTGCGCCTGGCCCCAGGTGGGGTGTTGGCACTCCCACTGTGCTGTCATACTGTGCAAGTGATGGCAACGAAACTCAACCGGCTGAAACTGAGGTGCTCAAGGGGTGAGACAGCTCTGACACACCCAGGTCGGGGCCTCGCCTGACGATGGTCGGGATGCCACCTGTGTGTGCATGCTGGCGTTACTCTCCATCAGCTTCTGTCTCAGGTGGCGGTACCTTGGGCTGCCAGGACAGTGTCCGGCAGAAAGGATGGCCCCCTCCCTGAGCCAGGTGGCATGATTCTGACGGGCCTTCTGGGGATGGGGCTGGGGTCACTTCAGTGGGACCACGTGGATGAAGAGGTTGGGTGGGTCCTCAGGTTGATCGCCTGATTTACATACATGCCCCATTCAGTTTGTGAGCCTGTCTTCCCCGTGAGATTGGAGGTGTCTTGAGAATGGAAGTTTTTATTTTTTAAGAGTTAATAGATGTTTGGTGAACACCTACCGTGTGCCGGGCCCTGTGCTGGGCTCCAGAAATGCAGGAGTGATAAAAACAGCCCAGCCCTTGCTCTCTCAGGCTAGTGGTCTGGCAGGGATGAGACATCGCCTTACTCCAAGTATTTCTTGTTTTTGACCTGTTCCTGCTTATGTAACATTGGCTGGGATGTAGTTGGTGGTTGGTGAATGCTGGCTCAATGAATCAATCAGCAAGGATGGCAGCTCCCCACCTCCCCCACCGCCCACTGTCATGGAAGCTCTGTCCCCACAGTGTTTCTCAAAGAGGAGGGGTGTGAGGACTGATCCCGTTGTGTTGGGATGTTGAACTTCCCTGGTCTCTACCCACTGCATGTCCATCTGGGACCCTAAGTCATTGTAACAATAAAAAATACCACCCTCATCCCTGCCCCGGGACATACACTTTTTCAAACCCTCTGTGGTCAGGGTTTGGGGTGAGGCGTCACTGTCCTTCATTGAGAAGCACTGAGGACGTTTGAGCACATAAGGAAATCAGTGTAATATTTTGTGGTGAGTGCTACGGAGGGATTGGTCAGGCAAGGTGGTGGAGGGTGAGTAGGGGCCCTCCAGGGGAACGGATGGGGAATTTGGACCAGGCAGTGGGGGAACACAGGTCTGGAGGAACTTCTTCTCCTTGCCCTCTACATATTTGTAAAGTACCTCTCCTGTGCCAGGCACTGTTCTGGGCTCTGGGGATGTGTACTAAACTTCTGGATAGATTTCCCCAGGAGAGGAGAAACACCTGCTTTCAAATCCTCAAAGGAAGTGTTGAGTTGTTGCCTGGTTGTGATTGGTGGAAGGCATCTCTTGGGCAGGATGAGGGGTTTCTCAGTGAAGCTGAGACCTCAGGCTGTGGCTGTGGCATCCATGCTCCAGGAGGCTGGGAGATGCAACTCGTATTCCAGCCCTGTTCCCATCTCCCCTTTTGATTCTCTTTTCTCCCAGGGAAGTTAGTTGTGGGTTGATTTCAGTTATGTTTTCCAAACCATTCACTTACTGAGTCCTGCCTGAGTGCCAGACACAGTGCCGAGGGCTTACCCCGAATCACCTAATAGACAATGATCCTAATGCTCCCATGAGACAGGGGTTGTGGATCCCCGATGCTGTGGATCGGGAAACTGAGGCTTAGGGGTTCCCTGTGGAAGGAGCCGGAACCTGACCTCGGCTCTCTACCTTGGTACCCCAGAGCCCCCCTGCCCTGAGAAGCTCTTATAAAAAGTTGTAAAGTTAATTTTTAATTACATGAATATTGCAGGAATATATTCTCTCTATAAAAAATTAAGACATTACCCTGAAGGCTAAAGCCCCCTGTGGTCCTTCTAATCTCAGTAGAGATATCCTGGTAGAAAGCACAGTTTGCTAGTTGGTGTGTTCATTCAGACATTTAAAAAATAAATACGTGTTTATGCATGTCTGTGCCTATGGAAAATATATGGTGTCATTTTGTGTGTGGGTATTTTTGTTCTATTTTTGAAAAATACAAATGGGATCATTCTGCAGCTTTTCTACTCAGCAGTGTTTCTTTTCTTTCCTCTGTTTTTTAGAAGGAATAAATATTTAATAAAATATCACTGCAGATAAACCACTGAATCAGAAGTCTTCTAGTGTTTTGTTTTCATAGGCCTTTTTGAAGAAATGGCTTAAAGGAATATATATGTATTTTTCAAAAGACTGGAAATCCTTTTTAAAAAAGAAATAAATATTTGAAAACAATAAAAAGTCTCTCTATAGTGCAAAAAATGTCTTGATTTTTTCCCTGCTATGCAAAATTGTTAAATGAGTAGTATGCCCATAGAAACTATGCACCTAGATGCTTTTCCTAATTTATTTAATTGGCAAATAAAAGCTGCATATATGTATCATGTACAACATAGTGTTTTGCAATATGTATACGTGGTGAAATGGCTAAATTGAGATAATAACATATGCACTATCACATAATTAACCATTTCTTTAGTGTGTGATGAGACTTAAAGTCTACCCTCAGCAATTTTCAAGAATACAGGACTTTTTTTTTGTTTGTTTGTTTTTGAGATGGAGTCTTGCTCTGTCACCCAGTCTGGAGTGCAGCGGCATGATCTTGGCTCACTGCAACCCCTGCCTCCTGGGTTCAAGCGATTCTCCTGCCTCAGGCTCCTGAGTAGCTGGGATTACAGGCATGCACCACCATGCCTGGCTAATTTTTGTGTTTTTAGTAAAGACGGGGTTTCACCATGTTGGCCAGGCTGGTATCGAACTCCTGCCCTCAGGTCGTCCACCCTTCTTGGTCTCCCAAAGTGCTGGGATTACAGGTGGGAGCCACCATGCCCGGCCCGGAATTTGTTATTGACTATAGTCCCTATGCTGTCCCATAGATCTCTTGAACTTACTCCTCTTGTCTAACTGAAATTTCGTACCCTTTGACCAACATAACCCCAACACTCCCTACCTCCCCTTGCCCCAGACCCTGGTAACCACCATTCTACTCTCCACTTCCGTGAGTTTAAATCTTCTTAGGTTTCACATACGAGATCATGTGGTACTTGTTTTTCTGTGCCTGGCTTATTTCACACAGCACAGTGTCCTCCAGGTTCATCCATGTTGTTGCAAATGACAGGCTTTCCTTCTTTTTTGAAGCTGAATGGTTCAAATACATTCCATTATGTAAATGTACCACATTTTCTTTATCCATTTATCTGTTGATGGGCAGGCTGATTCTACACCTTGGCTATGGTGAATGGTGCTATGAACATGGGAGTGCAGCTTTCTCTTTGACATACTGATTTCGTTTCTTTCGGATATATACCCAGAAGTGGGATTGCTGGATCCCATGGTGTTCCATTTTTAATTTTTTGAGGAACCTCTGTACTGTTTTCCATAGTGGCTATGCTAATTTACAGTCCCACCCACCAGGTGCGGTGTCCCTTTTTCTCCACATCCCCACCAGCACTTCTCCTTTAGCTAACAGCCATTCTGACAGGTGTGAGGTGACATCTCATTGTGGTTTTAATTTGCATTTCTCCGATTAGTGATGTTGAATATTTTTTATGTAACCGTTGGCCATTTAGGTATCTTCTTTTGTGAAACGTCTGTTCAGATCCTTTGGTCCTTTTTTTTGAGACAGAGTCTCACTCTGTCATCCAGGCTGGAGTACAGTGGCATGATCTCAGCTCAGTGCAACTGTCGCCTCCTGGGTTCAAGTGATTCTCATGCCTCAGCCTCCAGAGTGGCTGGGATTACAGGTACCTGCCACCTGCCACCATGCCCAGCTAATTTTTGTATTTTTAGTAAAGACAGGGTTTCATCATGTTGATCAGGCTGGTCTCAAACTCCTGACCTCAAGTGATCTGCCTGTCTTGGCCTCCCAAAGTGCTGGAATTACAGGTGTGTGTGAGCTACCATGCCTGGCCTTTGTCCATTTTTAAATTGGGTCATTTATTTTCTTACTGTTGAGCTGTTTGACTTCCTTATATATTTTTGATATTGACCCCTTACCAGATGTTCAGTTTGCAGATGTTTTTCCCATTCTGTAGGTTGTTTCTTTACTCTGTTGATTCTTTCCTTGGCTATGCAGAAGCCTCTCTTAGTTTGATATAATCCCATTTGTCCACTTTCAATTTTTGTTGCCTGTGCTTTTGGGGTCATATCTGAAAAATGATTGCCCAGATCAATGTTATGGAGGTTTTCTTCTCTGTTTTTTTCTAGTAGTTTTACAGTTTCAGGTCTTATGTTTAAGTCTTTAATCCATTTTGAGCTGCTTTTGTTGTTTATGGTGTGAGATAAGGGTCTAATTTTCTTCTTTTGAAATCTTTATTATTTCTATATAGGAATTTCTTTTGAAATTCTTTTCAATTTTTTAAATCTAGGTTTCCCAACCCTACTTATTTAACAGACTGTCCTTTCCCCCTGGTGGGTTCTAGACATCTTTATTGAAGATCAGTTGACTGTAAACGCATGGATTTATTTCTTGGTTCTTGGTTCTCTATTCTGTTCCACTGGTCTGTGTGTCTGTTTTTATGCCACTGTCATGCTATTTTTTTTTTTTTTTTTTTTTGAGACGGAGTCTCGCTCTGTCACCCAGGCTGGAGTGTAGTGGTGCGATCTCGGCTTACTGCAAGCTCTGCCTCCCAGGTTCATGCCATTCTCCTGCCTCAGCCTCCCAAGTAGCTGGGACTACACGTGCCCGCCACCACACCCGGTTAATTTTTTTGTATTTTTAGTAGACAGCGGGTTTCACCATTTTAGCCAGGATGGTCTCAATCTCCTGACCTTGTGATCCGCCCACCTTGGCCTCCCAAAGTGCTGGGATTACAGGCGTGAACCACTACACCCGGCCTGTCATGCTATTTTTATTACTGTAGCTTTGTAGTATATTTTGAAGTAAGATAGTGTTATATGTCCAGTTTTGTTATTTTTTGCTCAAAATTGCTTTGGCTATTTGGGGTAGATGTTTTAAAAAAGACCCTCTTGGCTGTAAACTTAGGGTCAAAAATATTTTTCCAGATGTTTCTGTCTTGATAAAAGCTAATAAAACCAAGCAGGCTCTTCTGTTTGTATTTTTTTGTGCTTCATGTTTCAAACAGATGAAGGAATGAAAGACTTACTTCTTTTTCGAAAAAAAAGTCACTGTTTTTACTAGTTGAGTCACTGAAGACCAGATTTAATAATTTTGATGGGAGGGATTGCAAACATTTTCTGTGAAGGACCACAGAGTGAATATTTTAGTTTTTGCAGGCCATATGGTCTCTGTTGCAGCTACGCAACTCTGCTGTTACAGTGTGAAAACAGCCCCAGACAATGTATAAACAAATGAACTGTGGCTGTGTTTCAATAAAGCTTTATTTATAAAAGCAGGTGGTGGGCCAGACGTGGCCTACTCTTGACCTAGTTCCCTAGGATGCTCCTAAAGTCAAGTCCTGTAGTTGGGGAGGAGGGGAGGTAAGAGGAGCTGTTGAGTCACTTGGCAGTATTTCTTCTGAGACACAGATTCTTCTAGATCTGTTTTGAAAATACCCACACCATTGTTTTCTAATTGTCTTGTATTCCATAGGAGGACTATACCCTGCTTATTTACCCACTTCTCTAAGGCTGGATAACTAGGTTGTATCTAATCAGTGAGGTTTGTATAAAAATTGGTTGGCCACCAGGATCTTGGCATGTCAACCCTGTGTTCTTCCCCCTCCAGGGCTAGGGGCAAGGTGAAGCATTGTCGAATCAACCGGGATGGCCGGCACTTTGTGCTGGGGACCTCCGCCTATTTTGAGAGCCTGGTGGAGCTCGTCAGTTACTACGAGAAGCATTCACTCTACCGAAAGATGAGACTGCGCTACCCCGTGACCCCTGAGCTCCTGGAGCGCTACAACATGGTAGGTGGTGGACTGCCTTATGATTTGGTGCAATTTCTTGTCTGAGGTTGTACCTCATCTGTTCACGAATTCAGCAAACCTCTGACTATTCACCAGGTGTCTGATACTGCTGTAGGTCCTAGGGATACAAATTGAACACAATAGACAAAGACCCTGCCCTCGTGCCGCTTCTAGTGTAGTGTTGTGCTGCTTCTAGTGTAGTGTTGTGCTGCTTATAGTGTAGTGTTGTGCTGCTTATAGTGTAGTGTTGGGGAGATGCAACAAATGAGATTTAAAATATCCATAGCATGTTCCAGGTGGTGATGAGCGCTAAGGAGAAAAACACTGGGCCGGTGGATAAAGGGATATAGAGTGCTGGAGAAGGGGCCACAGTTTTCAGAGGGTGGTATAGGAAGATCTCACTGAAAAGGATTGAGCCATGTGGGTATCTTCTGGAGGAAGCGAGGATAGCATGTGCAAAGGTCCTGAGGTAGAAGCCTGCCTGGAGGCACTAAGAGGAAGTCAGCATGGCTGGAATGAAGTGAGCCCAAGTCGGGGTAGAGCTAAGTGAGGACGGGTGTTCACAGGTGACTTATCATGCAGGGGCGCATAGGCCATTGTAAGGCCCTGGCTTTTTCTCTGAGTCACTGGAGAGTTCTGGGTTCAGGAGAGACCTGACGTGATTACTGTGTCTCCATTCCTACCACATAGATCATTAATTTATTGAAAAGAGATTTATGGCATTCTGACCATGTGCTAAGAACTGTTCTAGATACTGAGAGTACTGTGGAACAAAATCTGCTTTGGGAAATTTAGGTTCTGGAGAGGAGAGACAGACAATATACACAATTAAGATGTTTTCAGGTAGCATGAAATATAATAAACAGGATGGTGTGAAAAGGGGTGGACACTACCTTAGGCTGTGGGAGTGGAGATCAGAGAAGGCCACCTTAAAAGGGGAGAAATGTGGGCTGAAACATGGAAGACAGCAGTGAATGGGCTCTTGGGAGAAGTGAATGAAGGGGTGGCTCTAGGTAGAGGAGTGGCCACACCGCAAGCCCTAAAGTGACATGGGGAACCGAAAGAAGAGTTAGAGAGGAGCAGAGAGGTGGTGGGGGTGGATCTTGGCAGTGGTGTGCTAGTAAATGTTCAAACAGCTCTGAGCGGGGCAGGGGAAGGGACTGGTTTGTAGCATTTGCCAATTTCCATGGTGTAAATACTTCCATGGTGGTCAGTGGTCAGTTTCAAGTTGTTGATGTGCTGTGGTTGAACCTGGAATGTGGAGTCACGAAGTGATGTATGCAGTGGGCTTTTGTGAGCTAGGAGGTCACTCCAGCACACCATTGGATCTTAGGATTTGTGCTTTTACAAAGGAACACGATGCTTGGCATGCTGCAGGCCAGGGCAGGGCCTTTCTGATTTTGGGTTAGTTTCCAAGTCTGGGGACCTTCTTTATAGCTTCTTTCTGTGTCTACTCATGGGCCATAAGAAAATTCTGTGAGGTTTCAACTCCTCTATCAAAGGATAGGTAACCATAAGGAAGTCTAGAACACTTGTTATATGTAAGGGCTATTCGAGGAGCATGGATTATTCTATTTCTTTCTTTCTTTTTTTCCAGGAAAGAGATATAAACTCCCTCTACGACGTCAGCAGAATGTATGTGGATCCCAGTGAAATCAATCCGTCCATGGTAAGTGCTGAATCTCCAATTCACACGATTTCTGAGTCACGAGGCTGATGTGGATTCCATCTTCTTCCCCTGGCAGTCATAACAGGGCAAGGGAAGACTTTGGAAAACCTGGCTAAAATAATTTTTTCTCTTTTTTTTGAGAAGAAAGGATGATTGACAATATGAAGTCTAGTGTCAGGGAAAATGTTAATAGAATTCCATCCAAATGCAACAGTGTTTTGATAAAATTCTGAGGTTTGACGAGCCACCTTTGGGCCAAATGCTTCTAATTAAAAGTCTTTCAAATGTTTTTTGCTCGCTGACGGAGTCTGCAGTGTTTATAAATTCCATTTGGTTCGCTGACCTCCTTGCAGTGCAACTGCTATCTCATATTCCCACCCTGACACTGTTGTGTAATTTCATGCAGGTGTAGGGATGGATTTTACTTTTAGCCCTTGGCTCCTCCTTGCCATGGTTTCATCTGAAATTTAGTTTGAGCCGGCACAGGAAGAACTGCCGGCTCAAAACTGCGAATTTTCTGTTTGGGGGTCATGTGGCACACGATCAGTGTACAATGCTTGCTTAGGAAGGGCCCCTGCTTGTGGGCTCTGTTGAAATTTAGCGATGACTTTCTTTTTTAAAAATTTATAATCCTTGGCCAATGCAGATCTGTTTCAGAAAGAAATGAAATCTTGAAAAGTTGTGGGCAAATTGAGCTGTGTGTGAAATGCATTAAGAGACCTTAGTAGCAAAAACTTTTGTTAGAAGTGAAGGATGTTTTGGTGACGAGAACAATCACCTCTCTAACCGATGAGTGTTCCTTCCTGTGGCCTTGGAGACCGGCTCCGGTCCTCATATCCATCCTTGAAGCAGGATACGCAGGTAGAGGCTGCTCTGTGTGCAGGCGGGGGAGAGAAAGGCGAGGGCTCTGCTTAGCCTCTGGCCTCCAGCTGCAGATCCCTGTGGCAGGGCTTCTAGAACCCACACTGCTTCTTATGAAACATCATGAACTATGGCAATCACTCACATTGATGGATCCAGTTCTGGGCTGAGCCACTTAAAACAGCTGGTTGATGTGGGGCAAGTTACTGTCTCTCTCTGCATCTCAGTATTCTCATCTGTAAAATGGGCATAATCATATAACTACCTACCTGTTATGGTTGTTGTAAGGATTAAAGGAGATACCTTAAGGCTTAGAACAATGCTTTCACTATACTATAGTTAGCACTTAAGAATTGCAAGCTGTTGTCAGTTTTATCATTATACATATGATCTCATGTAATAGTCGTAACAACCCTGTGAAATATATAAAAATTTAATTCCCATTTCACAGATGGGGGAACTGAGGATCAGAGAGACTCAAACTTATATTATTATTCAAAGGCAGAACAATGATTTGAACCTACATATCTGACTCCATAGCCTGTGTTCTGAGGAAAAGTTTTACTGGGTTCCCTGTGAAATTCCCATTTCCTTCGGGTGGGAGGAGAAGGAAGCCACTGATTTAAATAGATTTGACAATGTCACAGCTTTTCCCACTAATATTTGCTTGCCGTGTGGGTGTTCATTTATGCCCACCAGGCAAAAGGCATGAAAACAAATTCATTGCAGAAAATTTCTATACCAAGGAAGTTCTGTCTTAGATCTGTGAACAGAGACCACTTTTTGATGAATTTCATGGAGGAGAAGCTCAGTGACTCTTACAAAATGTCAAGGTCCTGCAGGAGTGTAGATAGGGGATTGTTGACCTACAGGAAAAGAGCAGTGAGGCCCTCAGGACAGGCAGGAAGAATGGGGTTGCCCTTAAACTTCTGGGAGGCTTGCTGAGCACAGGCACTGTGATGACAGTCTTGCCTTAATCTAAAAGGCATATCCTTTCTTTGTTGAGGAAATTGAGCAATATGGTGTCAGTACAATAGAGGGTCACTCCCACCCTAACCCTAAGCCTAACCTTAAACCCTAACCTCTAACCTCAACTCTAAGCCTGAACTCTAACCCTAACCCCAGCTAAACCCTAACTCCTAACCCCTAACCCTTAACCTCAACCCAGGTACCCTTGGTTCTGACTAGGTCAGTTCTCCTTCACTCCCTAGTGACTTTTTGGGGTCTTGGATTCTTTGCAATGCCAGTCCCTCTCCAGCAGGTGACTTTGTAACCTTGGCCTGAAGCCTCCTGCTCCTCAGTGAGAAGAACTAAATGGTGCCTGGGAACGCAGCCGCCTCCCTCCCCTCCTGTCCCTGGCCTGACCTTTTCCTTCTTGTTTTCCCTGAAAGCCTCAGAGAACCGTGAAAGCTCTGTATGACTACAAAGCCAAGCGAAGCGATGAGCTGAGCTTCTGCCGTGGTGCCCTCATCCACAATGTCTCCAAGGAGCCCGGGGGCTGGTAAGGCTGAATAGAGGCTGGGCTGCTTGGCACGGGGGCTTGACTTGTCCTTTCTTGGTGATGAGACTCAGGTGCTGGCCAAGTCTGACCCCCTTTGTCTGTCATCCTGGGCTGGCTTTGACCTCTTGTGTTAAGTCCCTTTTTAGGAAGGTGGCTTGGTGCATGCTCCATTTGAGAAAATGGACAAACAACAGTATTAACAGTTATCAACATATCATATCATATATTGTATATTATTATAATTACAATAGCAGCTACCATTTATTGAAGTCTTACTAAGTGGCAAGCAGTCTGCTAATTGGTTTCATGCGTTGTCTAACCAAATCTTCAACCAGATCTTCATTACTCCCTGTGATCAGGACTATGATGATCCCCACTTTAAAAATGCGGTGAATGAGACTTTCCAAGTCACAAAAATAAATACTAAATACTAAATAGTGCAGGCGCTTTACAATACACAAGACTGTGTGTTATTTCCAATTCAAATTCTTATGCTATTCCATAGTCCTGTGCTGTATGCAATGGCCACATCCTGAATTGAAGACAATACGTCTTTAGGGCAAAGGTACCTGGGTATGCTAGGGTTTAGTACCACTTCACTTTTTAACCTTGGAAGAAAAATTCGCTGCCCACCGATAGGTTTCTGGGCAAGTGGTTTTGTGGGGTGACTTCTGTCTGAGAGCAGTAAGAACTCGCTCATATTAAACCGGTGAGCACTGGTTTAAGTACCTCAGAGACTGGCATTTCTACCTCCCATAAGATAACTAGACCTGGCTTAGAAATCTGAATAGCAGCATGCATGGAGTGCTTATGTGTGTCAAGCACTGTTTTAAGCACATTTGAAATAACTCACATCATTTGAAATAACTCAATTAATCCACATGATGACTGTAAAAGGTTGGTTCTGTCGTTACCTGCATTTTACAGATGAGGAAACTGAAGTCTTGAGAAGTACAGTCACTTGTCCAGGGCCACATAGCAGGCTGAAATTTGAACCCCCAGAGCCTACACTCTTAACCCCATTCATCTGCTAAGTCCTTCCCTGTCCTCTTGCAAGGTGCCTTAATCCAGGGATTGTCAAACTTTTTCTTAAAATCAGGAGAACCTCATTGCAAACCAATTCATACCTAGATTCCCCAGAACCAAAAATGCAGCCGAGTTATCTGTTGAGCTGGAGTAGGGGCATAGACCTGCCCTGTTTGGCCTCCTTGCTGACATCACAGTCCCTACTGCAGCCCCTGCTGCTTCCCCTTGGAGGCTCCCACAGTGTTGTCCATCTGCTTCTCCCAGTTCAGAGGCTTGGCTTTGCCCCCAAGTCCCTCCACTCGAAGTGGCACAGAGTTGAGGTCTCTTCCAGGCACACTGGCTTTCCCTCATTGTGCTCCTGTCCCTGCCTTGGTCAACATCCTGGTGCTCACTGGGTGGGTGACTGTCATTTTTGGAGTTGTGGGTGGAGTCCAGGTGACTACTCCAAATCACAGTTTTCCATTCTTTGTGAGACGGCTTCATGCCTTTCTATGACTCTGATAGGCAGTTCTCTGAATTTTGAAGGCTCTTGTCTTAAGAGACTGGCAGAAGTTTGTTTGGCAAGGGAGTGTGGGCAAACCGCCCAGCGGCTGTGGTCATTGCTCTCTCTGATGGCAGTAGTGGTACAGGGGGCTGCCTGTGTGAAACGGCCTTTTTTGCATACTCCCAAACTGGTTCCCCTGTAGCTAGGGGACCAAACAATTGTTGTCTGAACCAAGATGCTCCTTGAGTGAAGGGAATGTAAAGTGCTCAGTCCTGGATAGATGGTATATGTGATCCCTGTAAATACAGCCAGCCCTTGCCAGAAGTGCATCTGGAGAAATGGTGCAGAGGGCGTGAAAAGCGCTTGCAACCCGCGGTCCTGTGTCTCTGCTGGGTGAATTGGTAGCATCAGTCCTCACTCTGCTTATTCAGACCAGAAAAGTGTTAATTTCTTCCCACCACCGTGGAGTACAGACTTGATTAAGATCCAGAAAGGTCAGCCGGGTACAGTGGCTCATGCCTGTAATCCCAGCACTTTGGGAGGCCAAGGCGGGCGGATCACTTGAGGTCAGGAGTTTGAGACCAGCTTGGCCAACATGGTGAAACCCTGTCTCTTCTAAAAATACAAAAATTAGCCAGACGTGATGGCGCATGCCTGTAATCCCAGATACTCGGGAGGCTGAGGCAGGAGAATTGCCTGAACCCGGGAGGCGAAGGTTGCAGTGAGCCGAGATCGTGCCATGCACTCCAGCCTGGGTGATAGAGTGAGACCCTGTCTCAAAAACAAAACAAACAAACAAAAAGATCCAGAAAGATCTCATATAGTGGGGAAGATAATAACGGGTAATTATACATTAAGTATAAGGTGTGGCTGCTCAGATGACTGTGGGGATAGGATGCCAGGGGACCACAGAGGAAGAGTGCTCAGCCTAGGGGGCAGTCAGGGAAGACTCCCTGGGAGAGGAAATGCCCAACCTGAGTCTTAAATTAGTGGGGGGAAACTGGGACCAGGGGTATGGGCCAAGGCATGGAAGCCAGGCAGCGTGGCAGAGGCATGATGGGGATGATGAGTCATCTGGAGCAAATGTCATGGAGAGTTAGGAGGTGACGTCTGGGAGTCCTGGGGTCACACTATGCTGTGCTGTGGTTGCCATGTTGAAGAGTCTGGGCTGGATTCCAGAGGACCTGGGGAGCCATCATGTGGCGTGGTCAGAGGTGCATTTTGGAGAGTCCCTGGCTACAGAAAGTGGCTCAAGAGATGGACAGGTTGAAGGGAGGGGGTTTGCGTGTCTGGGCATGGACTTGCCGGGAGGAATCAATCTTACAGGTGCTGTCCGTCTGGTGGGGTCCAGGAACATTCATAGATGGATTATGTCCCGTGTTGTTAGTGTCATTATAAAGATAGAGAACAGTGTTTTAGCTGAATAATAATAAGAGCTAACACTATTGAGTATTTACTGTGCACTAGGTAGGCGCTGTCCTAAGCACTCAGCTTTTGTTAATTTAGAGTCCCAATAAAACGCTCTGAGGGAAGCACTCGCCTTTGCCCATTTTGCAGATGGATAGTCGGAGGCACAGAAAGCCTCCACAGTCAGTGGGAGAGCTGGAATTTCATTCCAGCCTGTCTGCCTCCAGAACCACCTTCTCTCTAAATTCACAACCTCCCTGAAATGGGGGTGAACTTTGGTCTTGTATGGTCTCTGACTTCTACTTAAAGCACTGAAACTTCTGACTTGGGGTATCTTTGATCAAACATTAAGATCATGTGATGAGGGAAATCAGACCCCAATAACTCATTGGTAATTAAAAAAAAAAAGAAGTTGCCTTTGAAATGCTCTGTTGTCACAGATAGTGACACTGGTCACCTGGCCACTTGCTGCCTGTCACCATCAGAATCAAGCCAGCAGTTGGGGGTTAATAAGCAGTAGTGGGGAATGCATGCCACCTGGTGACAGCCCCCCATGTCCTTGTTATCCAGGTGGAAAGGAGACTATGGAACCAGGATCCAGCAGTACTTCCCATCCAACTATGTCGAGGACATCTCAACGGCAGATGTCGAGGAGCTGGAAAAGCAGGTGAGCCCCCTCTTTGGTGCTGTTGCAGGAAGAAGGGATCTGCGGGTCCAGTTTTCCAGGGACCTGTGCCATCTCGGTGGGTGCATTTTTCCGTGTGCTGCTCGTGGTCTCTGTGGAGCTCTGGATCAGGAAAGACAGAGTGATAGGGAAATTGAGATTGAGTTGTTGCGGGTGAGTTGCTGTGACAAACCGACCGTGATTTAATCAGGTTGTGCTGGGCTTGGAAGGGTTTGAATATGCAGGAGAATTCCCACTGGAGTGAAAGTGGCCAAATGGGGAATTTGTCCTTTGCTTAAGCAGCTTGCAAATGAAACACATGTATGTTGGGCAGCCAGACATTGAGAACGTGCTCGGGTTGAGTAAGCAAGTGGGTCTAACCAGAAGGTGAGATGAGGCCTTCCTGGTGACTTTGTAAACCTGGTGGTGGTTCCCTTGCCGCCTCTTGTTTAGAAAGCAGCCACATGCAGCGTGCCGGTGCTGCAGCAAGGATGACTTCTTTGTAATGAGGACTTTAAGATCCCGTTAGAGCCCCAGGTGTTTATTTTCTAAGGGACGTAGGGCAATCTTGGAAGGCTTCCTGGAGGAAGGAGTATTTGAGCCTTAAAAGTCAAGTTAGAGTTCAACAGCAAGAGACTGGCAGAAGGGAGTTCCAAGTGGGAGGTACAGTCTAAGCAAAGGTGTGGCAGTGGGAATGTGGTTGTGTCCTGTGTGCTTGGCCTGAGGCAGAGACGTGAAGCCCTTGCTGCGTCTGTATACTGCGCTGCCCTTACCTGAGCATCAACATTTGCCTGGTGCAGGGGCTGAGGGTTGGGGTGGTGCAGGCAATGAGTGGATGCCTGGTTCTGCCACCTCTCCTAAGCCCAAGATATTCTTCGTCTCAGCCAGACCCTGGGATGGTTCGAGTGTACAATGGGAGGCAGAGCTGGAAAGGGTGATGGGGGCTCTGAAAGTCTTAAAAGCCAGATCACAGAGCATAGGCGTTGCTTCCACGGGACATGGGGAGCCACAGAAGGTTCTTGAGCTGGGCTTTAGTAGGCAAAAGAGTCTCATTTTGTAATAAGGTCAGATAAATGGTCTAGGACGTGTTTTGAAACCAGATCTGAGGAAGCATTGTGAAAGCTGTTCTAGAATTCACAAGGCACGTTTTTACGGATTGGAAAATGAAACTCCTAACCTCCTGGCACCCTCTCTGCGCCAGGTCCCTATCAGCTCCATGCTTCATTATTTAGCTCTCTCCCCATAGACGTATCTGGTAATGAAAATGCATTTTAAACAGTTCCACAGGCAGTGTCTCTGCTAAACGGTGTGCTTTGGAAACCGGTTGTCTTTTTATTATTCCCGTTACAACTAACGTGAGTTATGTCTTGTTTCTTCATAGATTATTGAAGACAATCCCTTAGGGTCTCTTTGCAGAGGAATATTGGACCTCAATACCTATAACGTCGGTACGTGCACACATCATCTTAGCCTGGATTCCCACCCCTATCCCCCATGGGTTGACCTCAGCCCCGCCCTACACCGGGATGTGGCTGACACAGGGTCTTGTCTTGAATGCCAGCTCCTTCCCCGGCTGTAGCTGAGTATTTAGGTCAGGCTGGTCAGTGAGTATGATGCTATGTCTGCTATTAATCTCTGCTAAAACTGTAAATGCTAAAACAGGGTCTGGTACATAAGTGCTAGATGGTGGTTAGCGGACATTATTACCAACATCACTCTTACTATCTCAGGATCTGCCTGTGTTTCCCATGCGTTTCGAAGGAAAGCTGAGCTGTCAGCCTGGCCGAAACGCAGCATGGAGTTGGGAGTCTCGGGTTCTAAGCCCAGCTCTGCCTCTCTGTTGCTATGAGACCACAGACCTGTCACTTCTCCTCTTGGAACCTCTGCTTCCTGGTTGCTCTGATGGGGCCCAGGAAACCCAGCCCGCCCATGTTGACTGTGCTGCAAGGGGACGTGAAGGCGTGGCCCCGAGGCCAGGCTTGTCCAGTGGTGGCCGGGGTCTCATGTGTGCTGGGCTTCCTGGGTCTTGAGCCTGCCTGCTTTGAAGTGGGTGTGGTGCAGCTCCCATGTGAAGGGACTCTGTAGCAGGCCTCCTTGTTCTGGGCAGCCCATGACCCTCCCTGGGAAGTCATGGGCATGGTTCCCTGGGACTCAGGGGACAGCAGCTCCAGGAACTTCGTGTTTCTATTACCAGTGCTCTGCTTTACACGTTAATTAATTATTATTATTTTTTGCGACAGAGTCTCTGTCACCTATGCTGGAGTGCAGTGGTGTGATCTTGGCTCACGCAGCCTCTGCCTCCTGGATTCTCGTGATTCTCCTGCCTCAGCCTCCCGAGTAGCCGGGATTATAGGTGTGTGCCACTGCGCCTGGCTAATTTTTGTATTTTTAGTAGAGATGGGGTTTTGCCATGTCAGCCTTAACTCCTGAGCTCAAGTGATCTGCCTGCCGTGGCCTCCCCAGGTGCTGGGATTGCAGGCATGAGCCACCGCGCCCAGCCTATGTTCCACATTTGTTACCTGCTGCTTCTCCTTTACAACGATCCAGCAGGATAGGTCGGAGGGGGAGTCTTTGCTCCCATTACCAGATGAGAAAATCAAGGTCCTAAGTGACCACCGCACGTGCTGAGGTCCTGTGGGCTGGGGGGTGCGGGATCCCTGCATCCACTTCTGGTGCTCTCTGCATCATCTTCCCCCATCCCTGTATTTGCAGAGCAGAGGCACATGGCTCAGTGGTTCTGAGTAGAAATCTTGGAGTCAGGTTTGAACCGAGCCTCAATTTTACTGCTATTAGCTGTGTGACCTTCCACGTGTTACTTTCTCTTCATCAGCGTCAGTTTTGCCTCCTGTAAAATGGGCCTAGCAAAAGCAGGGTGCCTGTAGTCCCAGCTACTCAGGAGGCTGAGGCGGGTGGATCCCTTGAGTCCTAAGAGTTTGAGACCAGCCTGGGTAATGTAGTAAGACCTCAAAATCTTAAAAAAAAAAAAAAAAGATGGAGTACGTGTAATCTGCTTAGAATATTGTCTGGAATATAATAGCTCAGAAATCTTAGCTACTGATATTTGGCAGATAAGTTTCCCTGTCATAATCTTTTCTTCTCTGTAAGATGTTTTCTCTGTGTCTAGAGAAGCCATGCCACATTTCTCTCCTAGCTTCTGGTGACTCCTTGGTGTTTTTGGCTTGTGGCTGCATTCTTCAGTCTCCACATTTGCCTGCACATGGCTTTCTCCCTTGTGTCTGCATCTGTTTTTAAAGCCATTTAGCCGGGTGTGGTGGCTCATTCCTGTAATCCCAGCACTTTGGGAGGCCAAGGCGAGTAGATTGCTTGAGCTCAGTTCGAGACCAGCCCTGGGCAACGTGGTGAAACCCCACTCTACAAAAAGCACAAAAATTAGCCAGGCTTGGTGGTGTGCACCTGTGGTCCCGGCTACTTGGGAGGCTGAGGTGGGAGGATTGCATGATCTTAGAAGGTGGAGGCTGCAGTGAGCCAAGATCGCACCACTGTGCTTCAGCCTGGGTGACAGAGTGCGACCCTGTCAAAAAAAAAAAAAAAAAAAAAAAAAAAACCATTTAAATTATTTATTCTTTATATATAAAATATTATACATAACACAGAAAATTATGCACAATATCCTAAGTGAAACAATCAGTTCATAAAATTTTATGTATTGTAGGTAAACATTTTGTAAAAAGGCCAAGTTTTGCTTAGTTATATTTTAAATCTTTTTAAAATGAACATGTATTGCTTTAGTAATTTGTAAAAAATATTTATGTTGAGTGCAAAAAGCATTTTCTAATTGGTCAATCAAAAAGATTTTCAGTGTTTCTTTTGATCAAGATGAACATGTGTCTATAAAGTGGACAAGAGGGTATTTTTTTCAGGTTCTCTCATGCATTTTAATTTTTTTTTTCCCCCTGCATCTTAAGTGTCCCTCTCCTTTCTCTTACAAGGATACTGGTACTTGTTGGGTGTTGGAATTGCCCTAAATCCAAGATGATCTCATTTTGAGATCCTTAACCTAAGTACATCTGCAACAACCCTATAAGGTCCCATTCACAGGTACTGGTGACCCGACACATCTTTTTGGAGGACACTACTGAATCCCTCACATCCTTTGAGCAGTGATGTGTGTGATGTGTACCTACCCTGATGGAAAGTAGACGTCCCCATCAATGCTAACCGTAATGATAGCAGTGGCGGTTGGTCCATGAGAGAAACTGCTCAGGCAGGGTGCAGTCAGGTCTTTGTGGCCCTCTAATAGGCTGATCGGGACATTTCTTACTCTCTCCCCAAGTGAAAGCCCCACAGGGAAAAAACCAGAAGCCCTTTGTCTTTATCCTGGAGCCCAAGAAGCAGGGCGATCCTCCGGTGGAGTTTGCCACAGACAGGGTGGAGGAGCTCTTCGAGTGGTTTCAGAGCATCCGAGAGATCACCTGGAAGATTGACACCAAGGTAGGCACCTGCTCACCGGGTGCAGGTGGGCCTGCATTCTCAGGGCTCTGGTGCTCAGCTGAGGCTGTGGGTGGGTCCAGGCAGCAGGATGAGCAGATCCAGGTGCTATTCAGAATTGGGGGAGGAGACCAGGTGGGTTCAGACAATAGGAGCACCTCTTGTTAGGGAGAGGCAGGGATAGTGGAGCTGCCCTGGGAAGGTGGGTCTGGTCGTCTGGTTCGAACCTTCAGAAGGCTGAGTGCGTGCAGCAATGCTCAGTGATGAGGTCTGTGCGGCCCCACATATCTTACCAAGGAAGTTACTGCCTTCCTTGTTTTGAATAGTTTCTAAGTATCATATAAAGCAGTCTGGATCCTCCCCACAGAAAATGCTCACTGAGTTCACCTGCCTGGACCTGGAATGGGCTCTGAGAACACAGCAAATCAGCGAGACGCGGTTCTTTCCAGTGGAGGAACTTCCCTTCTAGATGGGAATGACCTTTTCAGGGCTGTCCTACCTGAAGTACTAGTCTCTGGCTGGAGGTGTTTTGGGAAGGTGTGAGCTTCTGGATAAGAATAGGAGGTCTGGAGCTGGGCATACTGGAGTTTGCATCCTGGCAGGGCTGGACCCTGGGCAAGCAACCACACTTCTCTGGGCCTCAGTTTCCTTGTCTGCAAAATGAGGAACCACATTCATAACTCAAAAGTACTTAATCACTGCCTTGCCATTATACCAGAGCGACATGGGCAAGTGCCAACCTGTGTTTGATGATGGAGTAAGGGCTGTCCTTGTGGCTGCAGAACTGGAAAGAAATTGTAGGGTTTCCTATGGACCCATTTGCTTCTAAGGTAGATCTTGACCCCAAGGGCTGATTAAAGCCTTCCTGTGGGGCCTCTCGTGCCTTCTGACTTCTGGCTAGCATCAGTGAGTCTCTCCTCCAAGATACTTAGTCATCTACCAGTGGCCAGGTCATTTTTTTTCCCCCTGGGAGGGCCTCACATCTTGGCCAGTCCCTGGTCACGACAGGATCGTTGTATCTTCTTTAGGAGACTTTGCAGAGGGGGCCGGTCCATGGGTACCCTCACTGGTGGGACATCGTCTTTCTCTGACCTAGGATCTCCTGGGGGCCTTCCCTAGGGCTCCTAATTCTTCCCATGGCTTTTCACACCACCAGCCATGGGGGAGGAACCATGAGCTTGTGGCCAGCTGTGCTGTCCGTCTGGCTTTCCCAGTGAAGCCATCTCTTCTAGGTCCTCGAGTGCCTCTGATGCTGCAATACAGCTCTGAGGCACAGGGGGGCGCCACAACCCTGAGGTTTATTTGAAAAATCTCCAAATAGCATATTCCGGCTCTTTCTGCTTTGCGTAATGGGGAAAAGTGTTACTTCCCTAGAAGGCTCTCTCTCCCCTGCCTCGCACCTCCTCTCCTGCCGCATGAGGGTTTCTGAAATGAAGCTGAGCTGTTCAAGGCTGCTGTTGGCGGCCTTTGGTCTACATTCCTTCCTAATTGGTTTTTATATTTGCTGAGATTTCATGAGAATGATTTTTAAAGTCCTATTATGACATCTGAGGGGTAAAAAAAAAAAAAAATGGGACAGCAGAGTTGACGGAGTTCCCGCACTGAGCGCAGCTAGCCCTTTTGGGGAGCTGGTGTTGGGGGGCAAAGGAAGAAGGCCCCATTCCACTCTCGGGCAACCAGTGGCGGATAAACTCTCTGCTCGCTGCCAGGACCTCTGCCTGTCCCTAAGTGCCCGCATTGTTACACGGTCTGTGGCCACCTCATTGATGGCGGAGGGCAGTCACAATATCCTTCTAGTTAGTGGGTTTCCAGAGCCTCACCAACTGTATTGTGACTTCCCATTCTGAGATGACAGCTGCAGGCCCAGAGAGTAATTGTCATGCAGTTTTTTTGTTTTTTGTTTTTTTGAGACAAGAGTTTCACTCTGTTGCCCAGGCTGGAGTGCAGCAGTGGGCTCTCGGTTCACTGCAGCCTCCACCTCTTGGGTTCAAGTGATTCTCCTGCCTCAGCCAACCAACTAGCTAGGATTACAGATGCCTACCACAATTCCCAGCCGATTTTTGTATTTTTTAGTAGAGATGGGGTTTCACCATGTTGGGCAGGCTGGTCTTGAACTCCTGACCTGAAGTGATCTGCCCGCCTCAGCCTCCCAAAATACTGGGATTACGAGCCACTGTGCCCGGCCTTGTCATGCAATTTTGAAGCAGCAGCTGGCGTTTCTTCTTGAACTGATACTGTCTTCTGCTGAGGTTGGGAGGAAAAAGAAAAAGTGAAGCCCCATACCTTGTCATAGCGCTGTGTTTTGTGTGAGGCCAACATTCCAGAATTCGACAGGCAGGCCCACTCCCTCATTTTAAGCAATTCTGTTGTCACTGGAGGTGAGCTGTGTTATTTCTGGGGTTTCCTGTCTGCAGACAACCCCGTGGTGAAAACTGTGCGCTAAGAGTACAAAGTCAAGTTGATTCAAGGGCCAGGAGAAAACACCTGAGGTTTGGAAAAGAAACATGGCTTTGGTTTCTGTGACAGCACTTTGCTATTGACTGCTTGGCTGACACCTTCTTTACCTGTTAGTTCATGCACTTCCCACCCACCACAGCCCTTCCAGCCTGACCCGTAGAGCTTGCTGTGTCCCCAAGGACATTCAGGAAGGATGGAAAGGGCTGACAGAAGCTGGGGGTATGTGGACAAGCTAGAGCCAGTATCAGGGGCTTAGAGTCACACTCGAAGCTGTCCTGATGATGTGGTCACAGCAGGAGCTCACGTAAAAGGCTCGTTTGCTGGTCACTGCCAAGGTCCACTTTGGCCCTGGGAATTGTCAGCACTCATGCGTGAAGGCGTTCTTACAGAAGAAATTGGGTGCCTTTATCTGCTTGTTTACAAAACATGACTTTCTGGTTCTTTGCCTAGGGGAGGTGTCTCCTGGGGCAGTATGAGTAGCTACCATGTGCCCATAGAATGCTAAGGCCTCTTTGTTTAATTTTTGCAATAGCCCTGTGAGGTAAGGATTCATATCAGCCTCATTTTACAGCTGAGAAAACTGAGGCACGAGGAGACTGTATGCCTTGCCCAGCCGGCACAGTCTGAGAACAGCCGGGCCAGGTTTCAAACTCACATTCCAGTTCCCACTGTCTTAACAATGGTCATGTTGCCTCTCTCACCTAGTGACCACCATCACCTGAACACTTGCTTTGTGCACAGCCCTGCCATCAAGGGGCATATCTCAGTGGGGAAGTAAGGTCTGTGCATTGGCACCGAATGGCATTAATGGAGGACAGTCAGGCAAGGGACGGTGAGAAGCAGAGCACACCAGCTGAGGCACTTGAGTGATTTGGAAGGTTCCAAGAGGGCAATATCCCTTCCCAGTCCTGGCTGGAGCTAATCCACGGATTAGTTCATTTTCACACTGCTGTAAAGATATTACCCTAGACTAGGTAAGCAAGAGCAGGGAAAACTGCTTCATAAAACCATGAGATCTCGGTGAACTCGCTGTTATCATGAGAACAGCATGGGGGAAACCGAGCCCATGATCCAGTCACCTCCCACCAGGTCTTTCCCTCAACACCTGAGGATTACAATTCAAGATGAGAGATTTGAATGGGGACACAAAGCCTTACCACATCAACTTCCCAGAGAAGGAATGATTTGGGCTGTGTCTAGAAGGAGGGATTTGATGGACCAGTGGGGCGGGAGTATATGGGCAGCAGGACGAGGAGTCAGGAGGGCATTGCTGTGGTTCAGTGGGAGCCGGGATAGGAACTCTGGGTCTGGATGCAGGAGGCATTTTAGTGAGATTGTCTCCAGAACCTGGCAGCTGACGGGGTGTGAGGGACAAAGCAGAGCTGGAACATGTGGTGGGTGGGGTAGGAGCCCACCCCGTGTTAACAGGGCTTTGGCAGCATCTGGTCTCGACACCGGCTGGCTGTGAAGGCTGAGATAAGCTACTCAACTTCCGTTAAACGGAGATAATTCTCCCTGTCAGGGTGTGGACTGACTTAGGTAGTATCCATCCAGTGCTTAGCCTGTGACGCCTAGAGCTAAGCACCCCCCAAATAGTGACCGTTATTATCTAAATATTCTCTCAAGGTCCCCCCTTGGCCAATAAAAGTCTGGTAGAATTTGGGGAGGCCCAACAGGGTTGCCTGCTTTAGGGTGAAGTGAGAAGCTTATCCTTACATGCAAGGAGTTAGATTTGGCGGTAGGTCCTCTGAAGGGAGGCACCTCCCGAGTCCACGGCACATAGTCTGGCCACTGGGTAGTGGTCCCCTTGGACAGAGCCCTGATGGGCAGAGTTGGGGAGCAGGTGTGCAGGTTTTGAGGGTGCAGGGGATAAAGAGTTATGACAAAGATGCTGGGGTCCACAGAGCCCACGAGGATTTGAAGAACTAGAATTTGAGACACTCTAACAGTGTGGCTTTAGGGGCGGGGACAGGAGGCAGAGTTAAGGACAGAGGGGTGGTAACAGAGAAGAGCCCCCTTCCCCTGCTATCCTGACCTCAGCTATATTTGAGGGCTATGGCCAGGACTGAGCTGGACACCAAATCCTCGTGGAAATAGCTTTGTCAAGAATTTTGACAGAGGAAGAAATGAGAGGGGCAGGGTTGTCTTCAGGAAAGGAAAACATTCAACCATATGAAAGATCCGAGCATGCAAGAAAGCAAAGTGGGGATGCAGGAGGAAAAACACAGGGCGAGCTGGGAAGATGGGATTTCTCAGGGGCGGGCACTAAAGACGGTGAACTCCAAACAGGAGAACAACATGAAGTACTGGGAGAAGAACCAGTCCATCGCCATCGAGCTCTCTGACCTGGTTGTCTACTGCAAACCGACCAGCAAAACCAAGGACAACTTAGGTAACGTCTTTCCTAAGAATCTGCCCTATAACTGCAGTGAAAACTTCCTTCCTTTCGAGTTTGATGTTTTCAGAGAGGGCAGAATGCTCCTGTTCTTAACTGCTCCCGGTAGATGGCCTCAGCTTGGGTTTGTCCTCCAGGTGAGGGAGCTGGTGGAAGAAGCTCTTTTGGTGTCTCAGTAGGAAGACCCACTGTATTAGTCCATTTTCATGCTGCCGATAAAGACATACCTGGGACTGAGTAATTTATAAGGAAAAAGAGGTTTAATGGACTCACAGTTCCACGTGGCTGGAGAGGCCTCACAATTACGGCAGAAGGTGAAAGGCACATCTTACCTGGCAGCAGATGAGAGAGAATGAGAACCAACCAAAGGGGAGACCCCGTATAAAACCCTCATATCTCATGAGACTTACTACCACACGAACAGTATAGGGGAAACCCCCGTGATTCAATTACCTCCTACCAGGTCCCTCCCATAACACGTGGGAATTATGGGAGCTACAATTCAAGGTGAGATTTGGGTGGGGACACAGCCAAACCATATCACCCACTTAGTGGGTGGATTTAGTTCTTATTGCCATTACCACAAACTTGGTGGCTGAAAACAACATTTATTCTTGCACATTTCTGGAGGCCAGAGTCTGAAATCGGTATCGGGGTCAACATCAGGGTGTCAGCAGGGCTGTGTTCCCTCCAGAGGGGAAAGCAATTCTTTCTTCCAGTTTCTGGGGGCTGCTGGCATTCCTTGGCTTGTGGTCACATGGGCTTCTCCTCTTCTGCCTCCCTGTTACAAGGACCCTTGTGGTGCATTAGGTCTACCTGGATATTCCAGGATAAGCCTCCCATTTTCAAGCTCCTTAATCACACCTGCAAAGTCTATTCTGCCATATAAAGTGACACATGCACAGGCTTCAGAGATTAAGGCCTGGACATCTTCAGGGGCCATTACTCAGCCCACCACAGATACAGTTAAAAAAAAAAAAGGGGGGAGCCTTCTACCATGTTCTCCAGGTAGCAAGTTTTTGATGATGCTGTACATATTTTTTTCTTTGGGGTGCTTCCTTATGTTTCATCTTAGAACAGAAGACCAGCCAGACAATACTAGACCCCTGAGTTAACTTACTGGGAGGCCAGTCCCTAGGAACCTCTGTTCAGGGACAGATGTCAAAGCTCAGGACTCAGCAGGCTCAGCATGTTAACTGCCTGGCTATCCCACCACAGCTGGATGGGAGGGAGCCAAGATGAGGCCTGTCCCCTTCCCTCTCCTCTGTCCCGCACAGGCACCCACATCGCAACTCTACCTGTGGGCAGTGGCAGGTGATTCTCAGTTTGTTCATCTTGTGTCTGTGATCTCTCTGGATCTTCCTCTCCCAAGATTTTCTCTTACCTAAAACCATCCCCATATTCCCTCTTCTATAACTACTGCTTTTGTGTTTTCTTGTTCAAGAATGTTGGTAGTTAAAAAAAAGTAAATTACAATAATTCTAGACTAAAAGGCGGTGGGAAAACTAGGTGCCTTCTTAATACCTGGAACCCCCCCGAGGGCAAAAGTCCATAGTGACACCAATTGGCACAATATCATCAGAACCCCCTGAATGTCAAAGAGGGAGATTCCTGGTTTCCTTTTACAATCTGAGCATCCAGTCATTGCACCAAACATTAAGAAAATGCAGAGATGAGACACAGAAGTAGCGATGACCTTTCTCTCTGTGCGCAGAAAATCCTGACTTCCGAGAAATCCGCTCCTTTGTGGAGACGAAGGCTGACAGCATCACCAGACAGAAGCCCGTCGACCTCCTGAGGTACAATCAAAAGGGCCTGACCCGCGTCTACCCAAAGGGACAAAGAGTTGACTCTTCAAACTACGACCCCTTCCGCCTCTGGCTGTGCGGTTCTCAGATGGTGGCACTCAATTTCCAGACGGCAGGTAAAGGCAGACTGAAGGTAGTCCGATCCCTGCAAGGTGGTGGTGGCAATCACTCCAGGCTAAGTCAGCTTGGGTCAGAGATGCCATGTGGTGTCCAGGAACGAGTGGTTTGTCTGAGGGACTGCACAGTTCAGCAGAGTGCTGGTTAGTATGAGGTCCGGCAGCTGAATGGAGGGATGAGAGGACTGAAGGGTGCCTGGCTCAGGCAGGCTTCATGATTGCAAGTAACAGAGGCTGAGTTAGTCTGGCTTAAGAGAAAAAGAAAATGCATTAGCTCACGTAATTCAAGCATCTTTGGAGCCCTCTTCTCCTGGCCTGTTGCTCTGGGAGGGCATTCTGCTCGGACTTTCTTCCAGAGCCATTCATATGGTGGCATAACCAACATACAGAAGCTTCTGGACATAAAGTGGTCGCATAAATCATGGGGCTTTGTGCTTTTGTTGTTGTTATTTAAAACCTGTTTCAGGGGATCTGTTCATCAGTAGCCTCCTTTACATTCTTTTTGTAGCCACCTTGGATTCCATTGAATGGAACAATCATTTATTTAACAAGTCCCCGTGTAGGCACGTGTAGGTATTCCCCACTACTTGCGTCACAGACAGCACTGCCTTCTGTACCCTGACGTGAGCGCCATTCCGCAGACGTAGGAATGTGTCTGTGGGACAGAATTCTCAGAAGCGCAGGGAGGGTTAAGCAGCACTGGCATTTTGATCAACTTTGCCCTGAAGAAAACCACTGAAGATGCGCCTGCAGGTGTGCCTCAGCTAAGCCACGCTGCCAAACTGCCCTCCAGAGAGATTGTGGGCGGAGATGCAAATAGGTGGAGGTTGGAGTATACTCTTTTTGTATAACTTCACTGAGGTTTGTTGAACTTTTTGCCGTTTGCACAACTGAGAGGTGAAAACTGATATACTGTAGTTCATTAGAGCTGCTTCTTGTAAGTGACATTAAACAGTTTTTCTCTTATTTAAGGAGCAATGACGTTTTCTTTTCTGCAAACTATTTGTGCTTCTTACCCGATGTATCTATGCAGTAGGTATTTATAGCATAGATGTATCAGAACTAAGAGGTTAAAAATTTATATTCATATATTTGTCATTTGAATTAAAATAGCCTATGTAATTTGTTTCTACATAGATACTTTTAGCAAGTTTGAATCTTTTCTTTTATGATTCGGGAGTTTGTGACATACTTGGAAAGATGTTCCCCAGTCTGGGATTTTGTTGTCTAGAAACCCTATATTTTCTTCGAGTGAGATACTTATTTGAACAGCTGCCTCACATTAATTTTGGGAAAAGGTGTCATTCATTCCCCACCTAGGAACTCGTGGCCTAGGAGGCCAGCACGCTCATGCCTGACTTACAGCAGGCCTTCACTTTCCTTCCCAGATAAGTTCATGCAGATGAATCACGCGTTGTTTTCTCTCAATGGGCGCACGGGCTACGTTCTGCAGCCTGAGAGCATGAGGGCAGAGAAATATGACCCAATGCCACCCGAGTCCCAGAGGAAGATCCTGATGACGCTGACGGTCAAGGTAAAGCCAGCCCTCCCTCCCTCCCTGCCAGGGGAGCCCGCTGCCCTCCCTGGGGGCTGCGCCGACGCTGCCTTGAGAGCGGGGAACCCATGGCTAGGAACGCTTGTTGTCTTGTTTAAACTAAACTATCCACATTCAGGCAGTGTTTGAGGATCTTTTCTTACAGTACACTCCACGGTCGTTTGGGAGAAGAGGAAAGGGAGGGGAAACCTCGAACCCACGTCCCCTTGTCGTCTGTGGGGGCGAGGTACGACCCTGTCTTTCTGGGGTCCCGGTGAGGTCAGCCTCTGGCTGGAAAGAGAAAGGAAACATGGGAAACAGCCATTTGGTCTTAATGGAGACATTTTTTCCCTTACTTTGTCCAGTTCCAGGGCTTGTTAAAATTCATCTGACTTTCAGAGAAAGTGTTGTTACTTTGTAAGAATTTTTGAAAAGTAGAGAAATGAATTGCATTTCTCATGAACTTAAGGGCAGTGGGGGGGAAGAAGCATATGTAAACAGAGGCCTTTAAGTAAACTGCAGTTACAAAAAGAGTGCCACGTTGTCCCTCAGCCTTTCCTGGGGGCAGGGAGATCCAGTGATTAAGCTCTGCCTTGATCAGAGGCACCTGCTTGGGCATGGATGTGCATTCATGAGCTCAGGTGAGTTTTACCTGTTGAGTCAGGTGGCGTATGGGACTGAGACTCAGGCTGATGCTGAGGAACTGTGGGATATACCATAGTCCACCTTCATCCACCGCAGAAGGTTGCTCTGGCTTCTCCAATGAATTTGGGAAAATTAGGGCTGGCATTGAACTCATCCAGTGTCACTCTAGAACCCAGTCGCAATCCATGCTAGGCTGTCTGTTCAGGACCCCAGGAGGGTTCCAATGCTTCCCTTTGGTGTCCCAGGTTCTCGGTGCTCGCCATCTCCCCAAACTTGGACGAAGTATTGCCTGTCCCTTTGTAGAGGTGGAGATCTGTGGAGCCGACTATGACAACAACAAGTTCAAGACGACGGTTGTGAGTAAGTCGCCTTGGCCCCTCTGCTTTGAAACGTCTGACCAGTGACTCCTTTGTGGGAGTGCTCTTCCTGGGGTATTTTGCAATGCACTTCAGTTGTCCAAGATTTTCTTTCCTCCCTCTTGCCCATGTGGCTCAGCTTGAGGAGGGGATCCAAAGGGCCACTTTATTAAATCCTTAGACTTTCCCCAGTGCTGTTTGCCTGCCTGTAACTCAAGTCTGGAATCCTAGGTGAGGCCCTGACACTCGGTTGGTCCTGTTTGTGCAGCAGCCCAATCTGATTGATCTACTGAGTCAAAGGCCAAGAGGCAGAGACATGGAGAGAGGGGGTGAACCTACATGGCTGACCTGACCCAGAGGATCAGCCTAACCTGGGGGAGCTTAGCCCCTAGAGGGCAGGAGGAATGCTTGCTCTTCCAGGAAAAGCCAGGAGGGAACCGTGAATGGTGGGCCTTCTAAGGCACAGGATCCTTGCTCCTGGTAAAAAGTAGCCCAATGAACAACTCAGATGCTGACTGAGTAAATTGGCATTTATGGAGAGTTGCAGGATTGCTCCTCGCTTGCTCTGTGAGGCTGGGCTCTCACCTGCCAGCTGTAGAATCCCCTGCTGCTGGATGTGGCTCGCAGGCTCTCTTCTCCTCTTTCATCTTTTCCAAATTCCACCTTCCTGCTCTGCAAACACCTCCCCTCTTCCTTTCTCCCCCATCCTGGGGAGGGGAGATGGGAGGTGGTCTCCTCGCTCTGCTCACCAAGGGACCAGCCTGCAACAGCAGCTTCCAGGATTGCTCAAGGTGGGGTGAGGGAGTGAAGAAAATTACTCAGATTTTCTTAGATCTTGGCATAGATGCATATTTATTTACGTGGTTGCTAAGGGGATTCACAGCTGAAGGATGCAGAGATTGTCTTACCAGAAGGGGGCAGCTCCAATGCGGCCTCTAATGAGCTTTGATCTCCTTCCAGATGATAATGGCCTCAGCCCTATCTGGGCTCCAACACAGGAGAAGGTGACATTTGAAATTTATGACCCAAACCTGGCATTTCTGCGCTTTGTGGTTTACGAAGAAGATATGTTCAGTGATCCCAACTTTCTTGCTCATGCCACTTACCCCATTAAAGCAATCAAATCAGGTAAGAGGCATTTTAATTAAGATGTTCAGTTTGGGCTGGCATTGTACTTTGGTTTGGCTGCTGGCTTCAGAAAGAATGAAAAATCATTTTTCCTGGTTTGGATGGAATCACTGTAAAACCGATTGGGTGGCTTGGAGAGCCGGTGCACGTACAGCCTGTCGTGTAGCACACAGGTGGGGGGAAGCGGGTGACAGGGGAGGCTATGCCCCTCGAAGTGGGATGTCTACATGCAACATTGGATTGTTAGTGGATCGTCAACCTGGCACTGCAGTTTGATTTCATTTTGAAATATTATACACGGTTTGCTTCTCCCTAGCCAGGGCTAAGTCTGGGTTGATCTCCCTCCTGCTCTCTGGCTGGCAGTGTGAGAGGGTGGCAAGGGAGAGACCTTCGGCATCTTGGGGGGTAGTTACAATCCCGAGAGTCCAACTCCCCAGATCCTTCAGAATTCACCTTCCTCTTGTATAAAATTGGGCGGGTTAATTTACTTCTTTGAATTGTTGGTTTTCTTCCCTGCTGAAGAAAACACAAAACCCCTTCATGGTATGAGGAGGGTCATTTCGTATTTTTCTGCAACCAAGCCAAGCTGGGTCACAGGACCAGCGCTTAAGAACACTGTTGAATCCCAGATGCCTGAGCCCCTCCTGCACAGCTGAGATGGACACCTCCAGGTGAGGGGATTTGGGACTCTGCTGCTTCCAGAGCCAGTCGTTTACAAAAACAAAAAAACCGGCTCTCCTTAGCTTCTATGTATTTCCTTTCCCACTGGATTTTAGGTATAATGTTTGTCAAATAGGCCCTTGCTGGCTGTTGAATTTCCTTCTTCCTCTTCCTTTAGTATTTCTGATGCATGGTGCGTGAGATCATAGATTCTTCTGGATTCCTCAAGAGGTCACTGTTCCCTTGTTTTCTGACGATCATTTTTCAAGAGAAAGATGACTGTCATTTTTAGTTACTTATATAAAAATATAGTCTTTTGATGTTGTTTGGAAACCTAGGGCTCAACGAAGAGCTGAATTGGATCCTTTTTGTTTTCAGACATTCCCTCAACCTCCACCTTTCTTAGTATAATATCATAAACCTGACCATTTCTGCTACTGGGCAGGAGCCCACTTTCTGAGCAGCAGGCATGCTAGAAAATCCAGGTGCTGGCCGGGCACGGTGGCTCACACCTGTAATCCCAGCTACTTGGGAGGCTGAGGTTGCACCACTGCACTCCAGCCTAGGTGACAGAGCAAGACTCAAAAGAAAATGCAGGTTCCTGGACCTACCACAGGGTGCTGAGTCAGCCCAGGATGGGGCCAAGGAACGTGCATCTTTAGGCAGCTCCCCAGATGGTCCTTGGATGGCACTTTGAGAAAACCAAATTAGGTCAAGGCTGCCTATCTTACCATTGAGGAAATGAATTCCTTAGCAAGTTAAGACTTTGGGAAAATGTTTAAACTTTGATTTTTTATTTTTTTTATTTTTTTTAGCACTCTAGAAATGTTCATTTTCATGAACATTGCTACTCTAGCAATAATAATGAATATTCATCTGTAAGAGGCCTGATATTTGGCAACCCTTCTGGGTTAACTCACCCACACTGTAAACTATCTTTTTTTTTTTTTTTTTTTTTTTTTTTTTTAAGATAGATAGAGTCTTGCTCTGTCGCTCAGGCTGGAGTGCAGTGCAGTGGGTGATCTCGGCTCACTGTAACCTCTGCCTCCGCCTCCTGAGTAACTGGGACTCCAGGTGCACACTACCACATCTGGCTAATTTTTGTAGTTTTAGTAGAGATGGAGTTTTGCCATGTTGGTCAGAAAAAAAGTGATGAGATTACGGCGTGAGCCACTGTGCCTGGCCTGTGAACTACTTTAAACCCAGCACTGAGGCTGTGATTCCTTAATTTGCTTCTTTTAGATTAGTCTAATAAGGCTTAGGAATGAAACCAATTCTTCTGGTGCAGGAAGTGTAGCTTTTGGTACATCTTTACCTTCCTAGCCTTGATGCTGTAACAGACTTCTTTGTACGGTAACTGCCTGCCAGTTCCTCTACCGGACTCATCCAGCAGAGAGGGGCAGCTGTGCCGAAACACCCTGGTTACCCTGACATCCTGCTGAAGGATGAAGGCCATGAGCTTCATAATCCCTCCCAGTGCCTTGCAGAGATGTCAGAGTTGATGATAAAACCTCCTTACCTTACTGGGCATCCAAGTGTGTCAATTCATCTGCAGAATACAATGACTTAGCTTGGAGATTTAGAAAAAACAAAGGTCAAAACCTCAAGGGAGATTAAAAATGTGACCTTGTCCTCCCCCCACTGTGAGATACTCTCAGCAGGGACCTTTCCTCGCTCCTTTCTAGCTCCTAGCAGTGCCTGGCACATCCATATTCATGGGAGGAATGAAATAGAGTGAACAGAAGGCATTGAGGGGCTTCCAAACTCAAAAAATAAACTTCGCCCATTGTCATTAGAGATGCACTTAAGCTTTTAAACCAGCTGGAGCGCAGGAAGGAAAGAAGCAGCCTTTATTGTGTTCGGTACCTTAAACTCTTTCTCTCTTAATCCTCACAGTAATCCTGTGAAAGGGGTTTTATCCTTGGTTTTAAAATTCTGAGCACTTCGAGGCCTAGAAACTATGACTTAACTTGCTCAAGGTCACACACCTGTAGGACCAGAGCTGAGATTCAAACCCAGGAATGTCTAATTTCGAACCCCGTGTTCCTCCTCCGCAGGCTGCCCTCTCACTGGGCCCTCAAAGCCCGAAGCATTGATCTTACTTTAAAAGGTGTCTATATTTCCCTTTCCCCTGTGAAATGACTAGAAACAAGAAGAAAAATCATTCTGTTTTGGGTGAGATTGGGAAACACCTTTGAGCAGACTCTAGTATACAAGGAGGGCTGCCCAGTGCATAAAAATGGGACTTGGGCAGTGAGAGAAGGTACACAGAGCTGGAGATAGCTGGCCATGGGGGCAGAGCTCATGTCTTCGATTTAAGAGGCACACGCCTAGTGTCAGATAGTACTGTCTGGCCTGGAACCATGCTATTGGAGTGCACAGGCTACCTGATTGATAGCCTCCTGGAACACCATGGAGCAGTCATTCCAGTTCATTCTAACAGTCAATCAGCAGCTAGACTGTATTAGTCCGTTCTCACACGGCTATAAAGACATACTTGAGACTGGGTAATTTATGAAGAAAAGAGGTTTGATTGACTCACAGTTCTGCAGGCTGTACAGGCTTTTGTTTCCGGGGAGGCCTCAGGAAATTTGCAATCCTGGTACGAGGAGAAACCAGCACATATTTACATCGTCAGCAGGAGGAAAAGAGAGCGAGTGAAGGGGGAGGTACTACACACTTTTAAACAACCCCATCTCGTGAGAACTCACTATCATGAGATCAGCAAGTGGGAAGTCCACCCCCATGATCCAGTCACCTCCCACCAGGCCCCAGCTCCAACACTGGGGATCACAATTCAACATGAGATTTGGGTGGGGACACAGAGCCAAACCATAACATAGACTTAATTCTTCCCCACTGTCCACAGATTAGCTCATTAGAGGTGCAGAATCTCAGGCTTCACCCCAGACTTCCCAAGTCAGAGTCTGCATTTTAACAAGATTCACAGGTGATTCATATTTGCATTAATGTTGGCCTATCACTGGGCTAGACTGCAAGAATTCTGTGAGGCTTTATCAAGGCAAAAAACGAACTAGCAACAAAGATCACATTGTAGCCGTAGGGAAAAAATAGATCAGAAGACTTCTTTACAGCAGTATATTCAATGAGAGCAGTGTCCCCAAAACCCTACCAGGAAAAGAGTGGGTATAAAACATTCAGGTTTTATACCCACTCAAACTGTCATTCAAGTATAAAATCAAAGGATGGATGCTCTCAAACACGCACAGCTCAGGAATTCTGTGTCCCGTGGGCTCATTTTGAAGAGAACAAAAGAGGACACATTTAGCCAACGAAGGCATCCACAGAGTTCAGTAAGATGATGAGCATCGAGCCATTAAAAATAAATTTGTACATTTCCTTATGTATAAAAAGACGAACACTGTAAACCAATACTGAGCCCTGGGTGGTGAGATGCATGCTGGGGAAAGTATAGTGATGTCTTTGTCATACTTTGAATTGTATACATAAATTAGATGGATTGATGGGCGGATAAATCCATGACAAAACAAGCACAGTCGGCCCTCTGGATCTGTGGACTCAACCAACCAAGCTTGCATTGAGAATATTTTTGAAAACGTTATGTATTGAACATATACAGACTTTTTTCTTATTCCTTAATACAGTATAACAATTACACAGTATTTGTATTGTCTTGGGTATTAAAGTAATCTAGAGATAATTTAAAGTATATGGGAGGATGTGCATAGGTTATATGCAAATACTACATCATTTAATTATTTAGAGACAGGGTCTTCCTCTGTCACTGAGGCTGAAATTCAGTGGTGTGATCATAGCTCATGGCAGCTTCAGACTCCTGGGTTCAAGCAATCCTCCTGCCTTAGTCTCCCTAGTAGCTGGCACTACAGGTGTGCATCACCATGCCCAGCTAAATTTTTTATTTTATTTTTTTGTAGAGATGGGGTCTTGCTATGTTGCCTAGGCTAGTCTTGAACTCCTGGCTTCAAGTGATCCTCCTGCCTTGCCCTCCCCAATTGCCAGGATTATAGGCATGAGCTACCATACTTGGCCAACTATCTCATTTCATATCAGCGACTTGAGCATCCAAGGATTTTGGTATCTGGGGAAGTCCTGAACGAGTCCCCCATAGATATCAAGGGACAACCGTAGAGTGCAAGTTTCATACAATCTAGGTGGTGGGTATACAAGTGTTCTTTGTAATACTTTTTTAGTGTTGCTGTATGTTTAAGAATTTTATATTAAAATGCCAGAAAAACATAAGCCTCCCTTTGTGGGAGAATTATGGTTACAAAATGGAATGCAAATATTATACACCATGTCCATACAGAAATCATACACCTTAGGGGTGTAAAAGGAGAAGCTGAGGGAAGAAAAGGAGAAAAGGTACAGGTTTGTGTAAGTATGCGACTTTCCTCTTCATAAGCAGTGAAAAGTAAGAGATTCAATGGCTATTGTTTGAAGGTGATAAATCAACTGAGAGTATAAAATATTCCAAGAGAAATAAGCCCAAAATCTGAATGGTGGAAGGCACAGAGGAAACAGTGGGAGGGTCCTATTTTGGGCATTGCTTGTCTTGGAGAATCAGTAGATATGATATAAATGCTTTCAAGACAAACTAGGACCACAGAAACGATCTCTAAGATATAATGCTCACTGGTAAGGCACTATCATTTGTGATTTAAAAGCAACTCAAACATATGCATAGGCAGTCTTGGGAAAGATACTGTTAACAATGGTTCCTTTTAGGACAGAGAGGAGAATTGGGTGGGAGTGACAGTTCTGTTTTAGCCCTGTGTTCTTTTATACTAAATTAAAAGAAGCCAGCAACCAACCTTTGAGATGTGTTGCCTTAAACATTACTGAATGGGGGTGGGGAAGATTCAGCTCCAACTCGCCCCCACCCTTCAGCCCTAAATAAAAAGAAACATTTAAATGACTGTCAAACACAGGTCCTACTTGTAAACAGGGAATGGCTTTCAGAGGAGGAAGATCAATACTGCTATGAACTACTAAGGGACAGAAAGATTTCCTCCCATTGGAAATCTTTAAAGATAAAACACACTCCCTGGTCCTGTGCTTTGTAAGGCTCTAAGTGGAGGAAATGGATGAGGATTCACTACTCTTTTGGTCTCAGGAGTATTTAAGGAATTGAACCACAGCTGCAATCACTACACTTAATGTGGAATGTTCTGTGGGTTTTAATTTCTTCTGAGTGAATCATTTTTATTTCTAGATGGTAGATATTTTTAACCTTGCTTCCCTGTATGGACCAGTCAGTCATGGCTGTTGGCCTGTGTCCCTAACCATCAGGATAGGACCTCCGGCTTCCACAAAGTCAGCCCCCAGCAGGGGGCACTGACTTCTCTTCTCTTTGAACTAGGCCTGTGATCCCTGGGTATCCTCCAAAAAAATCTAAGGTCTGACATTAATTACCTGCCTTTGCATCTTCCTCCTTGTTCTGCTTCAGGATTCAGGTCTGTTCCTCTGAAGAACGGGTACAGCGAGGACATAGAACTGGCTTCCCTCCTGGTTTTCTGTGAGATGCGGCCAGTCCTGGTGAGTGGAGATACGCCAGTAAGGGTTCCCTGAGCCATGCCTGCTGGTGGGGATAGAAATGGCCTATGAATACCATTGGCTGATGGACTTAAGCCCATTGAGAATTATCTAGCCCAAGCATGAGACATCATACAAGAATTCCTTTTTGCTAATTCCCCAGAGTTTCCTGGGTTTTCCCTCCCAGCATCCTCCTTTCTTGGAGAATGCTGTGTGATTCTGCGTAGGCAGTGAAGGAAAGGGTGCTGGTACTTGTAAGTTCCTCATAGTTTCATTTCAGCAAGAGCTGGGCCAGATGATGCCTTCCTAGATAGAGTCATCCTTTCTGGATGCTTTTTTGGTGCCAGTGGGTCTTTAGGAATCCTGTCAAAAAGTCTGATAGCCTCCAGTGAGGGCCTGTCTTGGCCTGTCCTGGGGACAAAAATGCATGAACCCCAACTTCTCTCTAGAGAAGACTGAAGGAGACTTCCTTCCTGGTTCTTTTGATTTTCCCAGGCCTTGAAGATACTGAGTCTCTCCTTTGATTAATCAGTTTGGATAGGCTTGGTCTTGAGCTGTATTTAAAAATGTGGCAAGTTTGCTCAGGATGAAGGGTTAAGAATGGAGCTCCCTGCTGTGTGGAGTCAGGGCTTGGGTTTGGGTAGATGACTGGGTATTTACTTACTGTGATTCTGGGGCTCCAGAGACTCGATGATGGCCTCTCTCATAGGCTCAGACCCACCTATCAGGCCTATGTTTTTGCAGTGCCTGACCTGTAGGCAGTACCATCTCCCAGGATCTTTTCATTCCCCCTACTGCAGAACCGCAAAGCTCGACATGGGCTAAAGCTTGACATGGGCTGAGTGAGTTCTGTGGTCAGATTCTCTTTGGCTGACCTAAAAAACTGTAGTTCTGAATCCCAGTGGGTTGATGTGGGCTTGGTTAGTGCCCCCCAATACCCATCTTGTTTTCTCATTTTGGTTGTTTTCCAGATAGAGAAATCAGGGTCTGTAATTTGGCTACAAAAACTAAACAGGGATATTCAGACCTTTGAACAGCCATAACAACAGTCCATGCAATAAAAATTCATGAACTTGACTCAGAGGAGGGAATATTAGGCTTTTCTGCATAGCCATTTCCCGATGTGCAGCTTTTGCAACTTTGATAGTTTTCCACTCCCAGAGCATTTTTAGGAGCACTGAGATGAAAGAAGATGCAATAAGGGAAGACCCAGGCACAGTGGCTCACGTCTGTAATCCCAGCACTTTGGGAGGCTGAGACGGGAGGATAGCTCAAGCCTGGGTGGCGGAGGTTGCACTGAGCTGAGACTGTGCCACTGCACTCCAGCCCGGGTGACAGAGTGAGACCCTGTCTCAAGGAAAAAAAAATAAGGGAAGAGAGAGCAGGAAAAACTGCTGAGAGAGACTTAAAAAGCACAGCTGTTAGGGACCAAAGAGCCTGAGACAGTCTCACTTTTCAATGGCCTAAAATAAACTTCACCAGCATTTAAATGACTGTGTGAGTCTTCCATCAAGTAGAATGACCATAAATTAATCACACCCCAAGCCGGGCATTTAGATGGAATCTATTTACAAACAAAGCGATCATGCACAGCTTTAGGTGAGTACCCTTTTCCTCCTTTATGCCAGAATTCTTTCCTGAGGATCAATACTCAGATATAGAATTAGTGGGATCAATTAATTTAGCTGAATGGTAAAACTGTAAAACCTGGGCTTTAGCAGAAGCCTTAAACCAGTGAGCACGAAGACCCTTTGCTTAGTTAAGCTTATCCCTTCCCAGCTCAACAAAGGATCTGGGATCTGCGCATCTGTTGCCTGGGGAAAGGGAACTGGTGCTGCTCTCTCTATATAAAAAACCCCTCTGCAGACACTTCACAGAAAAGTCAAGTGATAAAAACGGTTTTAGATGGTGGTAGGGCAGCATTTGCCTAAGCCTGCTCTGCAAGGCTGCTGTAAACAACTGGAAGCATCATAAATAATTTAAGTGATTAGGTATCACCAGCAGCAGAGAAAATTAGTATATTTAAAAGAAAATTGTGTTGATGCAGATTTGACTTCCTTGATGAGGGAAGCTCAATGCTGGGGCTGCCACTGTAGGGAGTAGGGGGCGTTGTATGGGGTTCTAAATGGAAAGTCAGTGCTCGCAAATCTTCTTTCTGAAAGTTTTCTTTAGTTCAGCTGCTAGCTCTTGAGATTTCATTTAATTCCACATCTGTCACCTGGTTTTGTGCCACTCACAGGTGCAGCTTGGCATTTCTGTCCACACTGGGATGAGAAGTCGCTCTTGGAAGCCGAGCTGAATTGCATTCGGTAGACCTGGGCTTTCTCCTTAATGCCCACGGTCATACCTTTTATTTATCACCATATCCTCTGGAAGCCAGGGAGAAACTCTGGTAAACAGCCTCAAGACAGCGTTTTCTGAGCAAATGATTGATCCAGTAAGGGCTAAAATGGAGTTTGCTCATAAAACATTTGCTGAGATAGATAGATTTTACAGCCCCAGAAAACTGTCAATAAGCACTTTAAACACCTTCTGAAGAAGCCATTTACATGTCACAATTACTTTATCAAGTCGCAGGCCTTTACTTTGTTAGCAGTATGTTTAGTTTATAAAGAGTATTTTCAGCACCATTTTATTACCTACTGTATTTGAAGATGTAAGGAAAGAAAGGTGGGGGAGTTGAAGAGAGTCCTCACAAACAGCCTGTATCTAACCACGTTACCATCTTGGTAGATTTCCATTGCCTGATGATTTTTTGTATATGATATTTCCATAGTCGGATTCATACAGGTGCCCTTTTCTACTTCGCCGACGACTTTAAATGATTTTCAAAGCCATTGATGCCTGTTTCATTACGTGTGGGTCCCTAATTCACTTATGCTCCTACTAATGGAGAGTTAAGTCATTGGCAGTTTTTTACTTTATAAATAATATAGGTCTTCATGTAACATTTTCTGATTAAAAATTATTTCCCAAGGCTAGATATTTAGCAATGGAATAATAAATCAAAGAAAAAAGGACCATGTATTTTTACCTGCATGTCAAATTGTTCTCTGAAAGTAAATAGTTTCTCTTAAGTTGATGTATTACATCCAATCTTGCCATTAACTGGAATAGGCCTTCACTGGAATGATTTAACACGGTGAGATCCCGAAGAATGGGACTGGGGAAAATAGGACAGCTTAAATATCCATTATCTTCCCTGGGCAAACTGGCCATTTCTGGAGGGCACATTTGAGAAAACTGGCTGCCCCAGGACCTGTTTAGTACTGATCCTGGGTGAACTGGGTTCTGTTTTGTGCTGGGTAGCAGCTAAAGTGCAAGGGGGTACAGAGGCCCTTCCTTAGAGTGAAAGAAAACCCAGGATGCTGTCAACTAGATTAAGGCTTATCCTAGATCAGATGCGTGAATCCCTTTGTAGAAGAGTGCACACTTTAGAATCCTGGAGGTCCAGGACTGGGAGCTGCACTCTGGCACTGAGCTGGTCCTGGTTTTTGAGGTTGGGAAAGATTTCCTCACACTTGGGGAGAACTTGGGGGACACAAAGGCCTTCCTTATGCCTCATCAGCTAAAGCTGGTCAGTTTGCCAAGTGCTGGCTCCAAAGAGCAAAAACTGCTGTGTTTACCATCTATGACCCAACAGTTTGACATGACTACTGAACAGACAAAACCATGAGCATGCAGTGGAAAAAGAGGAAGACAAAGGTACACACCTGGAACAGGTGGCTGGCAGTTGAAACTGAGCCAATGGAAGCCTCAGATGATGAGAACTGTAACACATAACTCAGGATCTTTCAAAGACATCCAAGTAGAGCACTGGAAAAAGCTTTCTGGAATTCAAAGACAAGACCTGATTTGTTGAATTAAAACATTCGGTATGTAAAGCGATCTGCATTAGTGACCCCAAAGATAATGTGAAGGAAATGTCTCACAATCTAGGGCAACCCCACCATGAGATGGAAAGAAAGGAAAAGGTGGGCTGGGAGGACAGATGCCAAAGACCTAATATGAAAGCATGTCCCAAAGGACAAAGTGAAACAGATGGTGCAAAGCTATTAATGAAACAGTGAATAGAGGAAGTATTTCTCTGATCTGCTGTTTGTGAGGGCCCACGTGGTTGCAGGTGGGATGAATAGAAAACACATCCATACCCTTAGTAATATTTTAGTAAAAATGTTAAATTCCAAGGATAAATTAAAAAACGTGGACTTGCAACACACTAGTTGTGTATAAAGGAACTGAATAAGTCTAATATCTGACTTGTCCTCTTTGGTGCTGAAAACTAAAAGACTCCCCAAATGGGTAGAATGTGGACTAGGAAGACAGAATAATTCAGTGTCCAGCCCCCCACATGTCAAGGAATTTCAAAATATGCAATATTTTAGATATATCAGGTATCCTACTCAAGGGAAATCTTGAGGCAGCCCAGAATCAATGATATTTTAGTCAGAAGAGAAACTTTTAGGTAGGGAGGTGAAGAGAGGGAAACCAGTGGATAATTAATTTTGCAGTACAATTACATCTTACAGGAGGATGACAGCATGATTAAAATTTTGTCATGGTAAATATTAAACAAGAATTTTTGAATTAAAATGCTAATCAAAAGCTGAAAAATAATCAAGTATCAACAAAGCACAGGCATGGACAGGTAAAAATAAAGGTATCCTAAAGGGTATTTCAACTTTGATGACTGGGGAATCAGACAGTAAATAAACTATACTGCAGAGGGAGAGTTAATGCTACATTTGATGTTAAAGGAAACTGTGATTTTAGTTAGCATTGTTAAACTGAGGGTAACCGCTGTCAGAATTGAAAAGCAGAGGAGGAAAAAAGGAGATCAACATAAACTTGACAGAGAGAGTAAAAATAAGGTAAAGAATCAGAAGAAATTAAAGCAAAGTAAAATGTATAGTAATTGAAGTGAAATGGATAAGAACTTACATTTAATTTGGTGAATAGGCTGAATCCTCCTATTAGAAAATAAATCTAACTGCAATGTTTAT